CCTTATGCCTTATGGCGGCCACGTGGGCCGGGCCGGCTGCCTCTCGCACAGAAGCCAACAGCCCCGCGGAAACGGGCACCGCCTGTCCGTCGCCTGCACACCGAGGAGGTGCCCACACGTGTACCGGTCTGACCACAGACTGTTGTACAGGAGCCGTGGCGACACTAGGCACAGATCAGACGGCTGTTTGAGGTGCCGCCCGTGCACAGAGCTGCTGTTTCCCTGCCTTACAGGTGAAGGGTGTCTGACAACCAGAAAGGGGTGAAAGCAGCATGCACTCCCCCCGTCCCCCCTAATCTCCCGCTCCCACCCCCAACCCGGCACAGATTCGATTGAAGCAGCCCGGCCGCCGTGGCTCAGGGAGGAGCGTCACCTCTGAACCAGGAGGTTATAGTTCAGTGATGGCGAACCTATGACACGCATGTCAGAGGTGACACGCAAACTCATTTTTTTGGTTGATTTTTCTTTGTTAAATGGCATTTAAATATCCTATCTAATAATAGACAAACATGGTAATTGACCGTACCTTCACTACGCCTCCCATTGGCTAATCGGCAAGATATGCAAATTAACCGCCAACAAAGACTGAAGGCGGCTCCGGCCAGAGCAGCCAGGGGAAGGGAAGGCCTATTGCACGAATCTTTTTGTGCAACAGGCCTCTAGTATAAAATAAATATCAAAAATATAAGTCTTTGTTTTACTATGGTTGCAAATATCAAAATTTTCTATATGTGACACGGCACCAGAGTTAAGTTAGAGTTTTTCAAAATGCGGACACGCCGAGCTCAAAAGGTTCGCCATCACTGTTATAGTTTGATTCCCGGTCAGGGCACAGGCCCGGGTTGTGGGCTCGATCCCCAGTGTGGGGCGTGCAGGAGGCAGCCGATCCATGATTCTCTCTCACTGATGTTTCTCTCTCTCCCTCTCCCTTTCTCTCTGAAATCAATAAAAATATATTTTCTCAAAAACTGAAGATCAGAGTGGAGCACGCGTCTGTGCGGAAAGATGCGGACGCAGGTGCTTGTAGCCGCCGCCTTATGGCTCCGCCTGAAACCAAACGTCTGCCCTGGTTTAGGTCCGACTTCTCAGCCCGAAGCCTGGTGGCTCCCTGGAGGCAGGAGAAGCATCCACGCCAGCACCTGCCGGGGCTGCAGGTCAGGGGCTGGCAATGGGGCAGGTCAGAGGCCCTGTGACGGGGGGCAGGTCAGGGGCTGGCGATGGGACAGGCCAGGGGCTGGCAATGGAGCAGGTCAGAGGCCCTGTGACGGGGGCAGGTCAGGGGCTGGCGATGGGGCAGGCCAGGGGCCCTGAGAGGGGACGGGGACAGGCCTGCGCAGGCAGCTCCCGGGAGTGGACTTCCCCAGCTGGGACCATCCAGCTCTGACGTCCTCTTGCTGTTCAAGGAGACGCGGGGTAGGAGCTGTCACCAGCCCGGCGGGGGCGGTGTCCTGGCACTGGGCTTAGTCACCGAGACGGGCCTGCAGGGCGTTGCTGTCAGCAGGGAGCGGGGTGGCGTGCAGAATCCAGGCGATGCTCCCTCGCTGCTCCTCAGGGAGAAGCCGAGTGCCGGGTCTCGCACAGAGAGGAGCCCCCCCATCCCCCCTGCCACTCCGGGTCCACTTGCTCAGTTTCCCCCTAAGAGGGAAGGTCCGGCGCTTTCCTCAACGTCCCCTTGCGTCCCGGGTGGGCCATGAGTCCATCCAGGGTGCGCCCTCGGTTACGGGCGCCCTCGAATGTCAGGGGTGCTCTCTGGGCCCGCCTCCAGTCTGCGGCCCACCTCCCTCAGAGGAGCCTCTGGGTCTGACGCCGCCCGCCCGGGTGGCTCTCTGGGACGCCGAGGACAGCCAACGCCTTCCCAAGCAAGGACAGGGTGGCACAGACTCACCCACAAACCTCCACGCTCCCCCGTCGGTCTGTCCATCAGCCATGCAGCCCCACCCCCGTGCAAGCCCAGCATCCTCCTGCCCCCTGCACACCGCCCAGCGGCAGGTTCATTTCCTGTTGCTTCTGTTTCTTTACAGAAGAAACATCGACACACCTGATTGTGAAAGAAGCCAAGGTCCTGGGAGTGTGTTCTATTGGGCATGAGCGGGACCCTTCAACAGCCCCAACTGGATGATGCCCCAGCCAGGCTGTCTCAGT